TATATTGTATATATATATATATATATATATGTATGTATATATATATATATATATATATATACATACATATACACACACACGTGTATACACACACACAGGGGCAAAATTCTGTCATTTTTCTTTTTGCTCAATTCCTGAAGCCAACACACCAGGATAAGGATATTTATTTTGTAAAAAGTGATAGATATTTTCAGCTGAGCTCATTGAGATTTGAAAATGACAGTCACATGGCTAACTTAGAGATGGTTCTCCCTGTGTTAAAGCTTTGTGAATTGAGCTTAATGTCTGTCCCTGTTCTATGTGCAGCGTTCTTTAGATTCTATGAGTATCTGCATCGAACCCGACACCATCAGCAAATCCGGATTCATACGTTCTGGGTGAGTTATAACAGTGGAATGGTTTATGTAACCTCTTTGTTGTTTTTGTGTCTTTGTCTGGCCATAATAAATCTTTTTCTCCTTCAGCGTTGAGAAGAGTCAAGATCCCCTGCAGTGCCCTGAAGATTCCCAGAAGCTCCACGCCAGCCGCTGCAGCATTCAGGTGCCAGAGGTAAGCACGGTCCCTGGAAATCAGCTTTTATAGGGACACCTGAGGACAGCCACAGTGCGGCATTATATACACTGTTCTATCCCTGCTTATTTGTTTACAGGATGCTGAACAGAATATTGCTGCCCATTTAAAGGGGAAATTATAACGGGTTTGGGTTCATTTTATTTACATTGATATTTTTTAAAGCTGAACTCCAGGCAGATATAAAAGAGATGAATTGATGCAGCTCCGTCATCATTAATACATCATTAAGTCACCCTGATATGTAAGGGTCAGTTAAAAAAACAACTGCCCTGTAAAACAATAGACACTATACTTACCTTCCCAGGGGCCTGTGTCTTGACACATTACCGCTTCAAGGCTTCCTGACCACCACAGTTATTCCTCACTTCCAAGTGTGTAAATACTCCTTCCGCCGCACGCAGTGGTTTCTCCCGCTGGCTACTACATCACTACTGGACTACGAGCCAGCAAGAGGAACCATTTCATACAGGTGGGGGCAGGTATTTGACTTATCTGACCAGTTGCATACCTGCAGCTGCTAAAGATTGAAAAACAGCAGTATTTAAAGAAACAGACCACCAGAAAAGAAAGTATAGTGTCTCTTTTTTATAGGGCAGGGTTTTTTTTGTAAGTGACCCTCTGTTGTCAGTGTCACTTTAAATGTATTTTTAATACAATTAATGCAAGTACCTGAATTTGACCAGGCAGCAGCCTCTTGCAGTCTCTTTACAACAGAGCTCAGACAAGGGGTTGGAAAAGCAGCACATGGAACCAATCCTTGCACAGTTCTTTGTGCTAACAAGGAACATGCTGATAGGAGAAGAGAGGAGAGTGACAGAGAGATGAGCTCATTAGTCTGCTGGTTCTCCTTTCACTGTCCAGTCAAAGGTTTGGGTATGGACAAGACCTGTAGGTATTAATGAGAGAGGAAATGGCCCTCCTGTATGAATCACAACTAAGAAAAGGAAAGAGGGAAGGGATGTGTCCATTCTGTGTGAATCACTCTGACTGGGAGGTGGGAATGTTTCTCCTGTATAAATCATTCTGTGTAGAAGAGGGAGGTTGTGTGTCCTTATTGTATAAATCCCTCTGCCGTCTGATCTCCCCTCAATTCAGATCGGTTTCCTTATGTGACTCGCTCTCTCGTTTGTCTAATCTCATCTCCCTCAATTCAGATCGGTTTCCTTATGTGACTCGCTCTCTCGTTTGTCTAATCTGATCTCCCTCAATTCAGATCTGTTTCCTTATGTGACTCGCTCTCTTGTTTGTCTAATCTCATCTCCCTGCTATTCAGAAGCTTCTTACCAGCACAGTAGTAGAATGCACTGGCAAGGATTGTTGTTTTACAATTGTTTTATTTCCTCCTTAAACAGAAAATTAAAGAAATTAAAATGTATGTTTAATACAGAACATGACAAATCATATCAGAGAATATACAGAAATAAAACTTTCCCTTTAAAAGTCTTCTTATGTAAAAGCGAAGATAATTCATTGAAACATAATTGTGATAAAATGGTTTGTTTTCAAATAAGGACGACTTTGACACATTTTTTTTTCTCTAACTACCAGACTGCTTCCTGTAATTATCTCATCTCTGCGCTCAGCGTTCCCCTGCTGTGTAGTCATTCAGCAGTTTCCTGAAACCTTCTGCTTCAAACTCAGCCACACAAATGTGATTTACTTGGCTCAGTTTGAACCTGCTAAAGGGACGAGTGAGCACACCGGCACAACTCTCAGCTGCTTTCTCTGCAATGGCTTCTGCTAGGACTTGGCCTCCACTTGGAAAGAAACCTTTTGTAGCACTGTTCTAAATTTATCATCCCGACTTCCTTCACTGTTGCGGAAGTCACTAATGTGCATAGACACATTCATATCAGCTGTCTCAACACTTCACTGGCTACATGCTTCTTCCTGATCATTGACTCTAATTTGTAAAGACTAACGATGACCATTAGCAGCGACCAAAATGAGTCAGCAGTGACATCGCCCATGTTTATTTCCTGGTTCGTTTACTGTAAACCAAATACCCCAACTTCACGGTACATTCAAACCAGCAGCCATGCTCAGGTTCTATGGGTTCCCCTCAGTGCGATGCGGTGGTGTCCCACTGCGGTGTGTTTGAAAAAAGGTACTATTTGTTTTCTGCAAAATCTCCACTAAATACAGACACTGGTAACTGCAGATCACCTTTCATTTTATTGTGAGTCCATACATCCTGAAAGGAACTAGGTTTCACGTTTTCAAGCCCTGATGCAGGGGGATTGTGTGAACCCCTGAAACGCGTTGGCTGTTTCACAATACTGGCCTTTTTACATAAACGATTGTTTTGGACTCAAATGGTGGCGCCCCTGTCTGTCCCGTCAGGCTCAGTTCACACCACCCTGTTCCAATCTATGACGAGGCAATTTGCCTTGTCTTGCTTGGAATAAACGGCCAGTGCAGCCGATTGCAGGTAATGGGAATCGGCCCTCCAGATCAAAGAATTCATCAGATTCATTTTTTATTTTCAGTGTTTGCAAGGTTTGTGGCTCTTTCCCATCCTTACCTGCCTGTGTTCTGTAGATGCTTCAGAGATTTTTCCTCTCACCTGTTGTGCCTCTGGGACAGGAAGAAGTGAAATCTCCCTGCAGAAAAATAAAGTGCCACGGGTCTTAACCCTTTCCCACTATTTCCAAAGCCCACTATTTGTGTGGGCTTTACACAAACTGTTATGTTTAGAATTTGTGTGGAGGTTTGTTGTGTAATTTGTTTTGTCTCTTTTGTGTGGTTACAGAAGGGAGGAATCACACAGGTGTCACTATATATCCCTACCAGCAGGACAGACCATATAGGCCTGGGGTGGGCAAACGCCGGCCCTTCAGCCATTGTGAAACTACAAATCCCATGATACATGTGGCTGTGAGAATCTTGCAATTCCTCCTGGGCAGGGGCGTCCCGAGGCTGGGTGACACCCGAAGCGGTGTCCGAGTGTCCCCACGCAGAGACGTCACCACACACGTGCGCGATGATGTCATCCCGCACGCGCGGCCGTATTCGATACCTGCCGGCGGCCATCTTGGTGATGGACGCCGGCAGAGAGAGGAGGAGACAGTCACCCGGCGGGATAAGGTATGCCGCCGGGTCCCCTCCTCTCTCCTGATTCTGTCGGGCGTTCGGTCCATGACCGAGCGCCCAACTTTTCAAGAGGGGGGTGACACCAAAATGACTGTGTCATTTTGGTGTCACCCCTCCAATGGTGTCACCCGGGTGTGGGCCGCACCGCCCTTGTGACGCCACTGCTCCTGGGACTTGTAGTTCCACAACAGCTGGAGGGCCGGAGTTTGCCCACCCCTGATGTAGGCTGTGCAATGACTGACCATAACCTGTACTTGGAAGGAGACATTTATCTTCCTCAGAGGATATAACTTGTGTTTTCTTCTTTCTTCAGGGAACTGACGGCCATTTTAGTATAGACTCTGAAGAGTATGAAGCCATGTCCGTAGAGGTGACACTTCTGCCAAGAAAACTGCGTTTCCTGTGCCATCCTTCCCGAAAAGAACAGTTTACCCAGACTGCCGCACCGGCCTAATGCTTACTTATATGTCTACCAGCACCAGGCTGAGAGCTCAGGTTCCTTCAGTCATTGGACCAGGAACTTGGTGATCACTGAGGTGAGAATACCCCAAATGTATTCATTTCCATAAGAGGCGTCCCAGAGTACCTTGTCTGCTGTGACTTGTAGTTTACCACCAGCAGGTGTATGCCATCCATTTTATAATGTTGGTCATGTTATGGAGTTGTGTCTTCTGTTCCAAAAGACATTTGTGTACAAGGTCAGAGCTGATGTAAAGACTTGTGATCCATGTTTACTTTGGAAGAAATGAATAAAAGATTAAATAGGATTAAGTCTGCCTAAAACATGTCCTGCATGAGTTTTATCAATATGGCCGCAGCCTATAACCAGTCAGAACTTCAGCATTTTCCTTCATCATAAAGGCCAATTATTTTTTGCTGCAGGTCTCCCAGCTGAGTAGCTTCTCCCTTATGTCTGTGACGGTTCTCATTCATCCAGGTCATGCTATATCTGTGAAAAATAAGTCAAGGCAACTGGACTTGTTGTATTTTTCTTGAAGACGTTTCACTGGTCATCCAACCAGCTTTCTCAATTCAGAATGATTCTGAATGGCTGGAGACCCCTCTGGTCAGGATTCGGCAGTATACCTGCATCTAAAGGAAAAAGGTCACTCCTTTGAAGACAGTCAAGTACGCATCCTAGACAGGGAGGGGGACTGGTTTAAAAGAGGTGTGAAAGAGGCCATGTATGTAAAAATGGAGAAGCCAAGCTTGAATAGAGG